AAGATTTTATTGTGCGAGTATTTATACTATTTTCTCCTTGGGTTAGGCCGGCGCCAGTTGTAGTTGTAGTTTGCGCTTCATTGTGAATCAAATGAAGCGGCAAAGCTAAAATTACCTATGATGCTAGTAAACAAAACTTACTAATGGGGTTAAAGTTAAAGCTTGTAGAGTGGTCAGTAATTTTTAATAAAGTTTGCTGATTTGCTGGAATATTTAATAAAGAACTTTTTCATGTTGTAAATATCTGTGGGGTTTCTACATTCTTTGTCGCGACTTTCGCTTTTTCTCTTTTTTTGCTTTTGTTAAAATTCAATCCTATGGCCCATTCGGGGAGAGACCTTAGTTTTAATACGATTAAAACATGTAAAGTTGGTGCTATAAACTTCGTTCCTGTTTTGGTTTTTTTTGTTATTTTGTTTGGATTATTCATCCGTATATCATAGAAAACTATTTACTGCCGATATAGTATCAACGTTCGTTCCAATGTTAGAGATGATTTTTTGATCCCGTTTTTTAAGTTTCAGGGTCCAGCTTCTTCAAGCGCTCCGATTTGTATCTTTGCATTATCTACAAAGTCAAAGTCATGCTTTAGTTTAGTATATAGATATATTTACTATAAAATAGCAATATGTATATTTAACTTGCAACCCTTCTATTACTCCATTTACCATACCCAAATTTCTACATATAACAACCGATGTTTTCGTCAAATCATGAACGTCTGCATTGAAACTAACTTAAGAGCAAAAATCATATCCATATCCATAGAAACATACTTGTATGTACACAGCATTCAATGGCTGTTAAACAATTCGTAAACTAACTTGCTCATCGCACAATAACAATAACCGAAACAACAATTAGTGTGCGACCATACTAAAATCCAATACAATATAATATTATATTTGTACTCGCCGAAAAGTTTTGGTTTCTTGTTTTATGAAAATAGTTGAATTAATAGCAAACAGCAATTACAATGAGTCATCAGTGTTGGAGGTTGGCTGAAACAACTGCAGAGCCAACGTCAATGTACTATATGGTATTGGTGTGTACCGTTATATAAAGCAACAAAAATACCACCAACGACTAGAATGTTGTAAACTACCTATTTTCTTGCGCTATTAGAAAAGTTATGTAATTTTATATATTATGAACACATTCAATGTTCGTCTATATATGTATATTATATATAGCAACGCCAGTTCTTAATTGATGATTTTTTGATACCATGAACAGGGTATATTAAGTTTGTCACGAAGTTTGTAACACCCAGAAGGAAAAGACCTTATAAAATATATACATAAATGATCAGCATTATGAGCTGAGTTGATTTAGCCATGTCCGTCTGCCTGTCCGTCTGAATATAGTCGCTCAGTTTTCAAGCTATCGATCTGAAATTTTGCACTTGTCCTTTCCTCACAAAGAAGCTGCTTATATGTTATACAAGTACTTGATTCCGATTGTTCAGATTATATGGCAGCTATATGCTATAGATATCGGCGGTTGCGACAAATGAGCAGCTTATCGGGGAGGAGAAAAGCACAGGTGCAAAATTTAAGATCGATGTCTCAAAAATTTCGCGAGTAGTTCACCTATATACAGAAAGACGGACGTGGTACATTTAATATACCCTGTTCAGGGTATAAAAATTATCCTTAAAGTTTCAAGTAGAAATTTGATTTTGATTTACGAGAGCATTCCATGTTCGGTTTCGCCCGAACATACGCCCTTCTTACTTTTTGCTTACCAATTTGTTTGCTATTAAAACCACAATCAAGCACAAATGTGCGTGAAAACTTTATCACCTATCTAAAAAACTTAATCACTGACCTCTTACTGGGCCCATTAAGATTAAAAGGCGTGACACTGCAGCTCTTAGCATTAAGTAAATTTTGCAATCAAAGCCTATAATATACACATCTACATGTATGTACAAACACACGAAAGCTCTCTAATATTTTTTACCACAACAATCAAATTAAGTGCCACCAGCACGCTGCTCGATGCTGTTCAGCTGCAATTGAGGCGTGTAATCAAATCTGCCAATTCGCGCTGGCACAACACACACACACACGCCCATGCACACACGGCCACCGCCTGCTGTTGATAAAATTAGCATTTCTGATGATACTCTTTAGGGGGGCATTTCGATGTTTTCCGACTCGAAATTCAGTGTTGAAATTGCAATGCGTTTGCACGCTTTGTTTTTGTAGCCGCCTTTCGATTTGTTGTCGAACAAAGTTTGATTGTTTATATCACAGTGTCTACATGTGCCTCGGCGGGTCTCCGTGCTTCCCCAGCACGCTTTTACTGTCTCTCTCTCTCTCCCTCTCTCATGCTATTTGCGTGTTTGGCTGTCTGTCTGCTTGCCTCTCGATAACGGTATGTGTGGTTGCCACTCGTCAGTTGACAAAATAGTCAACGGAGCACTGTGGCACGCTTCTCGATACAGAGTACCGTTCTAGCTGAATCGGTCGTCGGTACAAATGATTGCCTCGGTATGCAGGTCTGTCGCTCGCTTGTCCATTTTTCCATTAAAATGCCACGTTACGCCTACTTACTATGCAAATTGATTGTCATGCCACATAAAAATGTCATTTCAATGTCAATTGTATTTGCGATTGAGCGCAGAAATGGCTAGGCGATGGGGAGCGGTGGCGCTTGTGCGAAGGGAACAAGTGCGTGTCTATGTAAATCCGTTAACATGCATGTAAATTTGTATGTGTATTTCATGTGTGTGCGTGTAATTGTTACTGTTTTGCTGTTGATATGCGTGTATACATGTGTGTGTGTATGTGTGTGTGATTTTTTCTGTTTGTAATTCTGCTGTCAATCCAGTTTGCTCTACTTCAGTTTATTACGCTGTTCAATTTGCATTGATGACATTCAACATCGCAGTCATTATATTGTTGCTCCCTCCTCTCCCCTTTTCTACGGAAATGCATAATACTTACACACATACAATTACAAATCCCATTATTTGCTGTGCATATCCTTCCGGCTCCGGCTCTACCTTTGCAGGTATGCACACACTCACCGAACAATTTAAACCAAAATTAAATCCTAGCATGTGTGTATGTATGTGTGAGTGCGCGTGTGCATGTCCAGTTATCCACTTTAATCTTGTAAATATTTCAGAGTACATTAAGTTTTTCGTGCGCCTTTATCTCTGCTTATTTGTTGCATGTATTGCCTGAATTCTGATGCGTAAGTAGTAGCCCTTATTTAAATCTTTTTTTTTTCGAAAGAGTTTTAACCTTTTTTACACACATGCACCATTAAAGGGTTTTTCTGCTTCACTGGAAGTTGCTCCGAAAGTTGTATGATCGATTTGTGCAGCTTAATTTATGTAAATAGTATGCAACACCCTTTAAATATTTGGAGTTTTAAAATATGTGGAGCAAAATTTAATTTGGTTTTTCATTGTAGCAGGCTGAAAGGGACTGTCTGCCGACACAAAGTGCTTCATTTCGCGGCCAGGGGTCAGAAGGAATGAAATATTTTGCACATTTTGTTTAGACCCTCGGACTATCTGTAGTTGGCAATGTTAATCGAAATCGAGTTATAGTACTACTGGAAAGCTGGGTTTTGGCGGAACTTGTTAGCAATAGTTCTTGAGCTGCCGCAAGATCCTTTTGTCCCCAAGAGGTTCGCAAGAGATTTGGTGAGCTCTTCACTCAAAATAGAAATATTTTTTCCCGACTTTTAGCGCATCTAACTGGTCACTCACCTATCGGTGTCCACAGCATATGGTTGAAAATCTTACCCAACGCCAGAAGAATACGAAGTAGATACATCTGATACGTTTTTTCTCTTCTTCTAGACTGTCCCGCCTTTGCGAGATCAAAGCTTAAAAACTTGTGAACTCTCACTTTCAGTCCTCCTTCTAAGCTGGAGACAATAGAAATAAAACAGCTTAGCAGATTTATATTGGCCTCAAGGCGCTTTGTTAGTTTATGTGATCTCATCTCAGGAGTTCTTTTTTCTGTCTCCACAAAGGACTGTATATGGTAGCTAATAGGTGCAATCCAGTTCAGTACCAATAATGCAGAACCGATTATTCTGGAAATTTGCGAAAGTTATACCACGCTGTGCCAAAATTTTCGATCATTTAAAGTAAAAATTTGATCAAGCAATGAAATCAATATAATATGATCTTCCAATTTTTCGGATCAATTTCCCATTTCCTTTAAAATATCACATCCTCAGCGATTACCGCCTCTTCACCACTGTAGTTAAAAGAATTCATAACTTAGTTAAATGGCATCCTAGCACAGGCGATCATAAAGGAATTATAAACATTATTTGTTGCTGAGAGTAAGTTGCGCTACATTCTCTTTCACTTACACATTCGGGTTATGTTATGACTAGAATATATTTTGTATGCGTTCCGGCTTAGTTCGCTACTACCACATACCATCTATTTGTTATATTTAAAAGCGGCAGAATATATTCCTAAATAGTTGTGGCTGAATTGGCAGTCCTTGGTCTGATAAGAACCTTAGTTCGTACCGAGCATGCAAGCTGTTTTGTCATCAGTTGTTACGCTATTCGAAATAAATTTCTGATTTCTCAACATACGGGGTTAAAACCCGAATTGGGTGGGCATGTTGAGAGAAGTTTTTATTTGTTATAATTTTTTCTGCTGGTATACGATCTCTTCAAACTAACTGTTTCTTACAATGTAATCTATTGGAAATAGAAATGAAAAGCTGTGCCTATCAGGAAGGAAGAACGAATTAGACACGCACTGAGCCCCATTGACATGAACCATCAACACTTTATCGATTCCTCCCAGTAATGACGTTCATGCAGTCAAACGCACCATGCAGACGAAAGGCTCGTGTTGCCTCGAAAGTCTAAAGTGATACTCGCACAACTTCGAGCTGTATACTTGTGCAGGTTAAACTTTTACTTACCAGAATCGACCCCGACATAACAAATATTGTGCAGCGTGCAATGAGTCCTCCGTGATTCTAATCACCTCTTTGTATATCTAGCGAACGCCACTCATCTAACACACTCTCCGTTTGGTCCGACTCCGTCGAAACAGCCGTTTCCTGCGCCTACCGTTAGATGACTTCGATGAAAACCAACTGGAACCACTTCAAGACGCACGACTCCATCTCAAGTATTCAAGAACATGCTTTCCCTTCAAAAACTTAAACTCCATACTATTTATCTATATTGAATATTTGATAAAACGCCATGTCACATGTTTCGAGAGTATGGTCCTCGAAATTATCAACTTAATCACAAGGTGAGCAAAAGTGTGGACAGACAAAATAAATCCATTTGACTAAAAAATTAATTTATAATATTCAGCCCTTAATACACCTTTAATAAAGGAAACACATCAGCCTATTAATTATTTTGTAGTATATTAAAAACACATTTGGATTTATATAATATTCGACTTTTATTTATTTAATTATCTCATTTCGCTGCGCATTTCAGTTTTACGAGTTTGTTGCTTTAATGTTTTTGTTGTATTTGAGTTTTTTCGCTCAATAGTTTGAATTTTCATTTTAATTTTAATTTCATATCAATCTTATCTTATTTAGTTTATGCACTTCATTATATAAGTATATATTTGTTTTATATGCATTACTATACTATTATATATGTATTTAGTACGTTACTTTTTTTTTTGATGTTTATTAATTTTTTGTTGTATGGTAAACCATTTCACTTTACGAATTCAGTACAATATAATTTGCATTAATATTAAATTTATTTATAAATGCTTAAATACTTATTAAACATTTAAAAATTTCCATTCTTATTATTTGCTTGTTTACTATTTTACAATTATCATTTTTGTAATATTATACAATATATATTTTTTTAATGTACAAATAAGGTTATGTAGATAGTACTTTTTAATAATGTACAAATTAATTGGTTGTCAATCACTTAAACGATTTACAGGCACTCCACACCGTTACTCATACAAACATACCCCAAATACTAACCATATGTAACTATAATATAAAAAAATGTCATTTATACTTCTTTAATTACATAATATATTTTTTTTTTATTTCGAGTCTATGACTCGCATAAAATATATAAATCATTGTACAGTTTAATTTTACTCACTTTCATGAATAAAACTGAATTTTTGATTTTTAGATATGCAGCACTGACAAGTTTGTAGAAAATAGTCTAAAAGCATTTGGCTTTATATAAAGATATTTAAATTACTTCAAATTTTTAATTTGAAATTTTAATTAACTTTATAATATTATATTTTCATGTGCAGTAAAATTAAAAAAAAAAATTGATTAACTAGAAAAGCACTCAGTGGTAACTCGTTGTCTGCAGTAATCTTCCTTGGAAGTATTTTGAAAATTATAGAGAAATAAAAATTCAAATAAAAGAAAATTTAAAAATTTTTAGATAATTTTTTACATTTTATAAACAGTACTACATAATAAAGCGGCACATGAAAGATACAATTTTAAAATGTAGAAAAAAGAACTTCTCAATTTTTTTTTCAGAAGAGTTTCTAACTATTATAAAGTAAAATAAGTGTTAAATAAAAACTTTCGTCAAAAAATAACGTGTTGTGTTTTTAGTTTTCTCACGATTCGTTAAAATTAGGTTTGTGTCTTTGCTGCCAATACAACTTTTTTTTGTTTCCATTTGCGATCACGCAACACACTGGATAGCAACAGAGCATTCTACAGCCGCACAAAAATATAGTAAGTAACTGAGCGCATTTTAGCAAATTTACTATTGTATCCCACAGGCAAATCAGGAACAACTAGGGCGTGACTTTCTGCTGGTAGTTGTTATTGTCGCGATAATAGATAATTGGTAATGTAAGGAAGAAACACAGTCTTCTATGATTCATGAGCGCTGGTATTTTCGAAACGAATTTAATTTTATGCAGTTTTGCAGCATATCTGCTGACACGTCATACATTTTCAGTTTGTGTTTCAACTTTCCACCAGGTGCCCATAAATGCATATCAAGTTGCTAGGATATATTTGAACAATGAAGACTATAATATATGTGATCATAGCTTTGCTTTTGGGGTGTTGCTGCATTCCGAACATTCCAGTGGGTGCGTGGTATCAATTTTAACGGATTGTATGTACACAAAATATTCAATAAAATATATTTTTGTTGATGTTATTTTTAGGAAGGTCTTTATGTTGTTATTTTTTTATTTTAGACTTCCGGAAAATATATTTTAGCAGGTCAGCATAAAAGTTAAGAAGTGTGTTCTGGAATATATTTCTCATTACATATTTCTACATTTTCTTAAACAATAAATACATTTCCTTTGTATTATAAATAAAGAAAGATCATATAGTTTTCTGTTTGCTTGTTAAGTTTCCTGCTCTCTTGGTAGCTTGCGAAGCTTGTTCTTCTTTAAAATGTATACAAAATTTTTTTGGATATCAGTTGATGTGAAATCAATCAGTCAGTCAGATCAGTATAATCACAATAAATTCACTAAACCTCAGAATTTTAGCAGGCGCTCATGAAACACCATCGCTGACAACTAAAATAATTTTGTTGGTAGTTAGAGCCTAGTAACAAGTTTGTACAATAATGCTCCTCAAAACAAAAAAAAAAACAACAAGTAAATAAATAAAATATAAAGAAATAAACTTCAATGTTTATCAGGCGCGCAAAAACACATAGCGACTTGCCGAGAGTGCATACCTTTGAATAATAATACAAATATTAGCATGTCATTGTTATTATTATTATTTATATACAATATATAGAATGAGAGTTTAGTGAAGTATAATTCCAAGTCGAACGGTTTTGCATTTCCAGTGCGCCTTGCGAGAGAGTCCGCTTGATGCACTAATCAGCATGCATCTGCTTTGCACTCTCTAGCTCTCAGTGCAAACACAAGGACTCGTTGTCATAACAACTACGTGCTCAATAGAGATCAGCAACTATTACTAGTTTATGTAAGTGGTGAGGAAATGTGTGAGCGAGAGAGAGTGTAGCGCACACACTGTCAGCAATTGAAATAGCGCTGATCGACTGACTTTACGCCACTTGCTGTGCCTTTATGATCGCCTGGTTCTCAGGATGACATTTGGTTGAAATTGAATTTCTTACTTCAAGGTCGGTCATCTCCAAACTATTTGCATATTTGTTTATATATTTGTTGGAGCTGCTGTCCTGGCTGCTGTTGTGTCGGGTCTTGGGCGAACTGCATGACTTTTAATTAATTGTTAATTTCATCTTGCATGCTGAGTTGCTGCTAATTGCAATTCACAGTTGTTGGAAAAGTTATTGTTTTTCAATGAAGCTGTAAATTCGTTTTAATGCAACGGCAAATTTATTCGTTTTTTGTTTACCGAAAACATACAAAAGCACAGTACTTCGTGGAATGCATTAATGCATATGCACACGTGCATACATAGCACGACATAGCGCCGCGCTGCAATAAATTAATATGCATGGCTTCCGCATTTTCATACACACACAAACACACACATACCTATATATGTATATACATGTGCATACGCTATTAATTGTTTTTTACGAGTTTATTTTCTGTTTATTTTAACATTTACCATTTATTTACATTTAATTTACAACATTTATGAATATGCATACATATGTAGGTATTTATGTCAATTTAAATTATTACTTTTTTTCATATATTCTTGCGTACTTTGTTTTTGTTGTTTTTTTTCATTGTTTTGTATGTAAAATTCTAGTTATTTAATAAGTTGCTAATTAATTTAATTTTACGCTAACTACGGCAATTAAGTTTTAGTTACATTTTCGTTTGTTGTTGTTGATTTTTACGCTTTTTGCAATGTTTTTTTAAGTGTTGTTAGTTATTATACAAATAATTGTTTGTGGTCTTCTGCAGTTTATCATTATTACTACTTTTTCAATTTCTCTTTAGTTTAAGTCTACTCTACTTTTTTACATAATTTACATAACATTTGCATGTTTTTGATGTTTCACGTTGTGTTTGTTGGTATTTATTTGCTAATTACACAAATAATTGCAATACTGCACACAAGTTTTAACATAAAAGGCGATAATTTGATTTTATGAGTAGTTTAAAGATTGCATTTTATTTGATTATTAATCACGTATATTTGCTGTTGCGTAATTTGTCGAAGTTTGTCGAACGCATTGAAGTGTTGTGGTGGTTATTGGTTACAAAATAATGGAAACTAATTTAAAAAGAAATAAGTAAAATATTCACAAATGTGTAGAGTAATAAAAAAGTAAATTTTAGTAAAGTGATTTAATTAAGGGCAATTAGAGATGAAGGATAAAGAAAAAACTAAAATTAATTTTCAAAGGTTTGAAGCAACTACTCAAAAATTTAGGGAAAGGCCAAACAGAAAAATTCACGAAAATCATCAACTAAGAATGAATTCTTGAAAATTTTAGATTGCAAAAAAAAAACATATATTTTTACATGCATATAATAAAACAAATATTTAAAAAAGTAAAAAAAAAAAATAAAAAAGTAAAATTAAATAGTTTCAAACAAAAAAATATTTATATTAAAAAATTTATAAATAAAAATAAAAAATTATAAATTAAAAATATCAAAAATTAATTTACAACAAAGATTTAAAAAAACGATATATATTTATACATATATATATAAGAGAAAAATATAAAGCTAATCAATTAAAAAATAAAAACAAAATTAAATATATTGCCAAAAATTAATATATAATATTTTAGAAAAGTATTACAAATTAAAAAGAAAAAAATAAAAAAGTAAAAAATTAAAAGAATTAAGTTCTGTAAGCTCGGAAAACAAATTTAGTCAACAGTTTGTCATGAATAAAAAAACCGTTGTTCAATAGGAAACTGTACAGTTAAGAAGCACTCATTACCAGACAAACGTAAAAATATGTCTATGAGCCAAGTTTATATCAACCGATTTCTATATTTTATAATATGTTGCTGTTCGTTATGTTTTAGGCCTTCGTGTATACTCGGTATGTTAGCAAAGAGCAATCTATCAAAGATTACATAAAGGCAATTTCAAAATAAACTTGCAACCTTTGGGAAAATATTTTAGTTGAAAGAAAAAAAAATTTTTTATTAGTGTTATTAGATAAAAAAAATTTTGAAAAAAGAAACTAAAAAATGCTCAAATTATTCTTGAAAGGTTCTGCCCTGAATCTAATTTGCTGGATACGTCCAAAATAAATTTTATTTGGATATATAATATTTTAGAAGGAAATTTTATACAAACTTTTTCTTTTTTAATTTCATGGTTTTTCAAATAAAATTTTGCAAGCGCATTCAATATACTAATTAAATCTGCCCAGATTGTTAGGGTCTCTAAATTTGAAAATTCTGTCTTAACTTCTTGATCGAAAAATATTATTTGAGTTAATACAATGGCAACTACTTTTACTTTTGAAACTTTATTTATATATTTATTCATAAGCGTATGTAGAAATATTATATTTTAAATATTTTCAGAACTCAAATTCTGTTTGAATTCTTGTGTCTAGTAGCTTCGTATCAGTTCATTACAATCAAAAATAACTTATTTTTATGCTTTAGGGTGCATGCCAAAAAAATTCGTAAGCATTTTAAAATCTATTGAAACCTTTTGAAAATTTTGAGAACTGATTTATTTTTACTGAAATCTACACACTTTTTAAAATTTGCATTAATAAAAGGAATACCAAGCCATATGCTGTACTCAGCATTTCGCTGTTATGCTACACTGCTGTATATTAAAATTCTGTTAGTGAAGGAATATTTGCATTTAAAATTATTTCACTTTTGTATGTTATGTATGAACAGTTTCAGAAATTATTAGCTTCAGTTGGAATTTTTCGCAACTGCAATATTTTTTTAAATACTTTTGTTTTTGTGAACGAACCACAAGAATGCGTAGCCAAGCATGAGTTAATATTGCATACTTTACAGTATTTAATAACAGTGCCTATAATGATTCACTTATTGAGAGTCAAGTATGAGTAATTTTGCAAAATTTTTTATGAAAACTTTGTTTTTCGGCTTTTTGAATTATGGTTATTGTGAAATTAATTTGTCTCTCTTTAGTTTCATATTTCTTTGTGTCAGCCAAAGGCTATTATTTTAAGTAAAATACATAGTTGCAGCTGCATATGCTTAGTGCATGAAGATACATGTGGCGCTCAGGGCAAAATTCTAATGGAAAATATTAAAAATATGCTCACTTTCATATTTCGCATTTACGGTGAGGAAGTATGTGCTAACAAGTTTATCAGATTTAAAACAAAAATAAAAACATTTTTTTTCATAAATTTCATTTGGTTAAGAAATTTTTAAACAATATACAGACAAAAATAAACATTTTTTCTCGTTATATTATTAACATTGACAAAATTCTAATACTTAAAATAGTTAAGATAAAATCATTATTAAATTAAAAGTGTTAAGAATTGAATTGTAAAATTTCATAAAATACATTTTTTAGACTTTTACAAAATATATATGTGTAGTTAAGAATTATAAAAGTAATACGTAAATTATAGAGAACATTTTTATAGGATATTTAGCATACAGGCAATGCCTTAGAAATATAAATTAAAGAAAATTACATCAAAATAGGCGTAGAATATACGAGTACATATAGCAGAGCAATAAAATCACTAACAAAATATTATTTTTAATATGTAAAAGAGCTAACTAAAATATGCATTTTATATTTAAATATATACTATATACAAAATTAAATCCAATGAAAGCGGCGTTGTATTTTATAGTATGCATAGTTTCTTGCTTGAAGGCGCAAGTGAACTGCCTATATTTTATATATTATATTAATTTGTATTTTTTATTAAAATTTGCAGTGAATGAAGGAAAGAGAAAGTGTCGGTAGTGCAAAATGAACCAGCAATATTTTTCTTTTGTTTCTGGTGGTTTCTGCCAGCTCACACGTAGTTTACCTCTGCTATAAATTTATATGTGGTAGATATTTACTAATTTACAAGTTATTTACATACATGTGGATAGTTTGTAGTTAAGATTTATTTCAGTTTTACTGTGTAGTTATTAATATTTAGTTGTTGTGTGCACAAAACAAAAAAATAGAAAAAAATTAAATATACATATACATATATATATATATAAATCTGGAGATATCGAAAGCGAAACAAAAATTTTCTGCGGAAGCAAGAAAAAACATGAATTAAATAAACCATAGATAAATTTTTGAAGATTTCTGTTGTTAATTTCTGTTTTCCGCTACTGTTCCTATAGAGAAGAGACTTCTGACTTCATGTGTATCAGAGCAGTTTACACTGTACACAAAGATATGCGTGTAAGCCAAAAACTGATCAGCAACAAATTTTTAAGCACAAACAGAACTACTAATGGAAACAGAATTAACAACAGAAACATGATTACCAACGGAAACAGAATTGCAAACAGAAACAGAAATTATTTGTATTAAAAATTTGTTTACATATCCGCACAAACAATGCGTTATACAGAAAGCAAAATTTGCAACGGAAACATGATTATTAACAGAAACAGATTTAACAACAGAAGCAGTCATTATATGTGTTGGTTTACATATACGCATAAACAATATGCTCTAACGCAGTTTCTGTTAAGTCTAAGACTGTAATTATTTTCAGCGTAAAAATTTGAACTTTTCAAATCAAAATCGTGGCTGTTGTAAAATTTTCGTTATCATTATCGAACCCGACATCATCTCCTTTGCTATTACTTCTGCTTTAGCATTCATGTATATATGTTAATATTAATTACTTAGCGCACCCTAATACGCCAGTACGCACTAATTCCACTTAAATTGTTGCTTTCATTATTCTAACATTTCGTTTCTTCTACTTTTCAGTTTAGTGAATTTATATATATAAATCATTTTACTAATAAAAGGCTTTTAGCTACTAATTTTTTACAATTTTCAGTTTTTTTCATTTTTGTTGTCGCTTTATACACAATCACAAACGCAAATTCATTACTTGCTTGTTATCAACGCAACGCGAGCTTTACTCCTATGTCCTATCATTGGTGCTCAGCACACGGTTGTTGGTTGTCGCCGCCGTCGCAGTCGACGCTGTTGGTGACCTCTTCAAACCGACATTTGGCGTCGCCTGTTGTTGTTGCTGCTGCGTTTCGATGCGTTTCAGAAATGGCAATCGTGGTGGCACATTTCGGTTTAGGCTACTGTTGTTGGTATTGTTGTTGCTGCCGTTACTGCTGCCCGTTTTGCGTTGCTGACGCATAATTTGTTGCAGCTCATTTATTTCGTGTACGCTGTCGTTAGCAGCAGCCGTTACGCCAGTTATTAGTGACTGCTGCTGCTGTTGTTGTTGCAGTACTGCTTTCGTGCCGCGACAATAGTATTCGATGTCGTCGATATCACTCAGCATTGTTGAGTTGTTTCCCACCGACTTCGCTGTGCCTGTTGCCCTTTTTGGTGTAGTTTTTGTTGCTGTTGCAACTACTTTGCCTCTATAGTCTACCGTTGGCATATCCAGTTCGTTGACGTGCACCTCTTCTGTGGCCATTGCTGACCGCTCATTTACTTCGTCGCATTCATCGCGATAACCGTAACCATCATCGTCCTCCTCCTCCTCCTCGTCCTCGTAATCATCATTAGCTGTGCCCTCATGCAGATTTGATTCGGCATCTGCTTTTAGTAGCTTGGATGTTGCGGCATTTCGTGGTCCACCTCCGCCGCCTCGTTTCTTCTCCGATTTATTTGGTATTTTGTTGTAGCGAATTGCATCGCGTGCATTGCTTGAGCGCTAGGTGAGAAAAAGAAAGCGATATAATCAGCTTAGATTGGACTTTTGAAAACAATCGGAGTTAATTATTGTTGTAAAAATTATATGTGTATGTATCATATATTTAAATTTATAATGTTTTAGAGGTATACAATTTCCTGTGCAGATAACTGGTAAACCAGCTGTTAACATAATCACATGATCATTGAATTACCACACGGATTTTAAGACGTTCAATATAATAAAGTTATATCATAATGTCTATGTAATGAAGCAGAATTAAAACAATAATAGCTGTAACAATTATGAGGTCCTCAGTAAGAAGTGGTCACTGTTTTAGAAAACTGGTTTGGGTCCATTCTCACGGTCAACATCAACAATCAAATGGTACAAAAGTTCAATCTTGAAGTTAATATGACTCTCACGGAGATCAGGAGATTTGGTCACTAACATCGAACTAATCTACTCTCTTTTCTACATTTTCATGTATGTAGATCTACAATAGAAACCTTACAAGACCTCAAACCCATGATCCACATTTCAATGAAATAAAGACAATTTGAGGTTAGGAGACAAAATATGGAAATCTTTATATCGATTTTACTGAAACCAGAGATTGTTCTTGTCACATTTCAATATACTAGCTACCTGATTGTAGAACACAACTTACCTCTATACTCGTATAGGTATATACGTAATTATTGAATAAACCTACATATATCAAAAAAAAAAAACATAATTTTTTTGAAACTATTTAAAAATATTTAAATCAAATAATTTTTAAACAATAATTGCCACCTTCTTTCATATGAAATACTTTAACAGCTAACCAATTGGATGCTAGATTTATTCAGCTATTCATCTCTGAAGCTGAATGAGCTGAATACAAAAGTAGTCGTAGGAGTTATTTACTTTGAGTAATTATTGACATTTTGCTTTATACAGCTACTACTCTTTTAAGCTGAATAAACGCTTAGAGTTAAAAAGCTTTAAAAGTCTAATATCAAGTTTTATTTAAACACATTTGCTGATCTTCGTGTCCTTCTTAAGGTGAGGAGCTTCATATTAACAAAAAAAAACTCAAGGGGTCACACGATAAGTTTGCCCCGAAAAATATTTTCTGTGAGAGTTTTTGTGTGACATAATTAAAATTCAGCTTTAGATATATGGTCTTTAGGCTTACTATGGTCTAATTAATGCAATAAACTTTCCTTCTAGTAATTTTTACTTATAAAGATAGTTACTTTGTCTTACACGCTACCATATTATACCATCAGTCCAATCGTTTAGCTCTATTAATGACGACAACATCGTAAAAAAAAAAAAAAATTAAAGAAATAGTATTTGGAAATTGTCGAATTAACTCAACACATTCACATTCATGTTTCCGTTATGAAGCGTGTCAATGCTAGACTCGCACCAAAAGACCTGAATCTTTTGCAAAAACGACGTCGAGTTAAGGTTGCAAATGATATACTTGACATTGTGGCTAAGGACCCTACCAAAGTCGCGCAGAAATTGAAGTGATGTTAATCGTTTTCTTTGATTACCGTGGAGTGTTAAGGAATACTACTTGGCCGTTTTGAGGAGTCTATGTGAAGTAGTTCGTCGTAAACGACCGAATTCGTGGACAGAAAATTCATGGATTTTTACCACGTAATGGGCCGTTTCATTTTGGCATAATTGTGACTGACTGTTTGGATAAGAACATGAAAATAAACCACGGTATGCGTCAGATTTGGTTCTTTGTGACTACTTTCTGTTTTCGAAACTGAAAATCCGTTTCTGGGAACGCGCCTTGAGTCCTTTGAAGCTATTGAAAGTCATTCGCACTGAAGGCCATTCCGAACAAGGATTATAAAAATGCTGATGGAAAATTGTTTTAGCATGTTTATATTGGCTCAAAAGTAACCTATTTTGAAAGCGATAATAACGATTTGTTTTAAAGAACGTATCAGTCTGGATCAAATGATAAAATCTTATTTACATCGAGTATATGTAGGTATGTAGCATAAAGCCACCAAAATGTTTAAAAATTTGTTGTGTGACGATGACATAGTTTGTGGCTAATATTTGTATTCTATCCTCCAAATAAATAGTACCAGAAATTTCGGATTAAAATTTTCGATTTCCTATAGTTAAAATATTTAATCCCCGAGCATTGTTAAGTTTTTGTGTGAGTTATTATATTATATTAAATATGCCATTCTATGAGAGTTAACTTGAAACAGAACGAGAATTTCTACACTGCTCATTATTTAGTTTTCATTTAAAATACTATAAAATCACAGCTTTGAAGCTTTCAAAGTCGCAAGTTGCATATATAAAGTTTTATACAAATAAATATATACCACAATGTGCATTAGATGAAATATAATGCATGCAACTAACCGAACAGTTTGTGGTTTGCAACCGCTGAGCGATTTTCTATAGTTAAAATACATATGTATTCATATCATAATATAATACATGTGGACAGACGAGACACGGACGCATTTAATAAAAGTAATCACAATTTTATATCGACATCTAATATATATAATATATTTATTGTATATATGTCCTGCATGTTATGCGCTTCCGTGTTAAGCAAATCTGCATGGTAGTCAAGCCATTAGTGCCATACAGGCGCGTTGATATTCTATAACAAATTGTTTAACTTCATAGCGTTATGGTGTGTTCGTTAGAATGAGCCAATTTTCGCGCAACGTCCGACCACCACCCGATAACCTGCTGTGCATACTCTAGACCAACATGCATATTTGTATATACATATATGTAAACACATATATATATACATGTAAATATTATAAGTATTGGCGCTCACTAAACTACCAACAGTCAATCGAATAGTCAAACCGAGCAGCGGCTACACCACTCAACCGCTCAAGCGATCAAACCAATAGGCGTAATATTCAATGGACCAACTAACCAACTGACTAGCGCAGCCAATGTACCATAACGGCGGCCAGTCAATTACACACAACGGCATATAAATATACACGTACACACACATACTTAGCTTTGAAACAAATATAATAAAAATGTGCGTGTGTGTTCATATTGCGGCTATTCTATCAATAAATCGTGATTACCAATGCAGCCGCTATATAGGCAACTTTGTTGCTCTACTATGTATGTGTGCGTATATGTGTGACTCGTTAGTAATGCTAATAATCCGCAAAAATGTGGATATAAATGTGGAAACATAGTAAATGGCGCACATGAATGGCGAAATGTCTGCGTTGTCTGGCCGAAAATTTTGAACACAAGCGCGAAAATTAGCGTGTAATGCGTAACAAAAAAAAATGGCGAAATTTCGAAAAAAGTTCAGCGTTAAATGCGAAAGCGTAAATTTGCGATAGTCGAACTTCCTTCCTTGGACGCAGCGTTGCATTATTTGTGAAATTCGTAATTTCACAAATGCGTCCATTTGGTGGTCAAAAGTACAGGCATATACAGTCACATGCATACATATAAATAAATATATATAAATATATATTGTAATTACACACTACGCTCTGCACACTACAATAAACTAATAAGAACATGCGCCTAATATTATGCTTGCTTTATGTGCATTTTGATGTTTTGGCATGTGGACATTGTGCAAATTGGAGATATTTTATTTAGACCGCATTGTTATCATTTAAAACGGTACAATAGATGGCCGTGTTGTGTGGCATGTTAAACGTTATAACGGTATTTAGCTTTAGCTCATAGATTGTGCGTTAATAAGTAGTTGTGTGTTGTTGAACATGACTCATTATCACCGTAATCTCAGTTTACAGCCATTTTGGCGATTACAAGCAGAATTTTCTATTATTAAATGATATTACAAGAGGCAGTTGGTATTATAAATATGTAAGGAAATATTTTCTTTGTTGAAAATTTTAGATTTCAAATTTAAATCATTGAATAATTTCGAGAAAATTTGATAAATTTTTGAATATTTTTTGCCGGATTGTGATCTTTTCATACTCGTTTTACTAAGAAAAAACTATGAAAAAATGGGCCCAGTGATAATGATATTATCAAAGAAATTACTTGTTAAATTATTATTAAAAAAAAAATAATTTTTATTATTAAAATTTGTCAATAACTTCATATTCATACCTTTATCTAGTTGTGACTTTCTTTAATTTATCTAGTTGTGACTTTCTTTAATCTCCATACACAGGCACGAGTCGTCAGTAGGCCTGTGACCGCACAAAGCGCATATAGGTTCTGCAAAAGCGCACTTGCTATATAAGAGTGCGTGCGTTCGTGCGCTCATAAAAGTTTGATGGGTCGCGCCAGCAAAGGGGTAAATAGGATTACGTAAGCGCGACGTCAAAGGCGCAGCGGTAACCCATTTATTTGTTTTGAATTTTACAGCGCTCAGATATTTAAGCGCGTCATTTCGCTAAATACGTGGCCCGCATCGCTGAGCGCTAACCAACACACGCACATGTGTTATTGCTTTATCAACAAAGCATAAATTACACATAGCCAAAACACATTAGGGTAGGCCCAAAAAAATTTTTTTTTTCGTTTGGTACTCTGAAAAATGGGTCCTTAGACACCTAAGGCTCTTACAAAATTTTGAGCTTTGCAATTTAAAATGATTTTTTTGATTGAGTTATAAAATTCATAAAAAAAATGTTTGCCTCAAAAATATCTTTTAAACCTTTAAGTTTACGAAAAAAAACGTAAGAGACCATTTTGTAGAACACCCAATTTGCTACATAATCTATGAAACGAGATACCATTCTTTCAAACAGCTGGAAGCGAAATTTCAAATTTTCTATCTCGTAATAAGAAAACAATAGAAAACTGTAAGTCGGAGGAATTTTCTGTTACAATTAAGAGCTCAAACTTGCAGAGATTTTTGTGAATCTATTTTTCAGATTATCAAGCAAAAAATATTTTTTAATTTTTGACCCACCCTAATGCACATATGCATATAAACAAATATATAGACTTATACATATACACCTTATATTTGTGAAACTAAAACCTGGTTGCACCGCTTTGCTTAA